ATTCTCAAGTTAGCTTGGTCGGGAATCAACTCCCTGTAAGCCTTCTCAAATATATCACTTTCCTATCATAAGTACACTTAAGTCCAGGTGTAGGACTTTTCTCACCACACAAAGATAACAACCCAAAGCATAAACAAATATAGATACACATATAGATATACAGTAATAAACACAAACAAACAAGTTAGGGGAACCCTCAAAAGCAAGTCCCCAGTGAAGTCGCCATTTCTGTCGCAGTGAGAATCAGATGTGGTTTCGTTAGAATGATACACTAGATACGGTAGCTGGAATATCACCGACAAAAACACGTTACTGAGTCATTTTATGGCAGAAGTAGTAGAGATTCGTATGAGCATGGTGTTGCGTATGAAACATGACGGAGAATGTATATGGGGTGTTGAACATTAGAGCTAGCAAGTTATGGTATGGGGTGGTTTATGTGTATTTTTCAGGGTGTGTATTGTGTGATGTTTTACTGCTGCTGTTTTTTTTATGGTTGATGTAGTTTGATTGTAGTTAGTCATGGAGAATGAGGGGTATTCGAGTGATTGTATATTACTAGAAAAAAGAACATGATGCTTGTATTATGAATGGTTGGTGTTTCTGAATTTTTTCTACGATGGCTGCTGCAATATATAGGCCTTGGAAAAGTGAATGTTTTTGATGAATGAGGAAAACATATTATGATTTTCTTTCCTCTTTGAATTCAACATGTTGTGACATTGCTTTGGATTCCTTCCTTTTTCAGTTCAGCATGTTTGGGATATGTTTTGGGAAGAAATCATATCCATGTTCCCTTGTTTTGCAAAGCCATCAATATATAATATAAGGATTTCAAATGAATTAAAAATCTTCTAAAACTTAGGGTTAAAACAAAATGTTTGTATGTTTTTTTTAAAAAGGAAATGCAATAGTTAAAAAACATTTAATTAAAATAAACTTTAAACTAAAATACCTAATTAAATATAAAGATAATTAAATTAAAAACTAATTTAACTAAAATAAGTAAAAAATAATTAAATTAAAAGACTATTTTAATAAAATAATTAAAAGATAATTAAATTAAAAGACTATTTTAAAAATAAAAGATAATTAAATTAAAAGACTATTTAAAAATAAAAGATAATTAAATTAAAATATTATTTTAAGAATAAAATATAATTAAATTAAAAGACTATTTTTTAAAATAAAAGATATTTAAATTAAAAGACTATTTTAAAAATAAAATATTATTTTAAAAATAAAATATAATTAAATTAAAAGACTATTTTTTAAAATAAAAGATATTTAAATTAAAATAATATCTTTTTAAATAAAATATATTTAAATTAAAAGACTATTTTAAAAATAAAAGATAATTAAATTAAAATATTATTTTAAAAATAACATATAATTAAATTAAAAGACTATTTTTTTTAAAATAAAAGATATTTAAATTAAAAGAATATTTTAAAAATAAAAGATAATTAAATTAAAATATTATTTTAAAAATAAAATAGAAATGAAACGATTTAAAACAAATAAAAACTCGGACATCAAAGTGCTTGAAAAAGAAAGCACCAAAATAAACAGCGAGATATGCTATGCAGACGATGCAAGAGAAGATCTTAAGGTCAAAATTAGGGTATGCCAACTTGTATATAACTTTTTTTGTTGTAAATTTGATGATGTAAGTACAAATGAACTTATAACTGTTGTGATTTTGGTAATGTGAATTGGGCTTCAAAAAAACGTGATGGGTTTTAAATATGATCCAATATTTTTTTGTAGAACTTCTTTTTGTACAAATGAGCTTTCTTGATCTATGAACTTTTGTAGACTTTTTCATTATGATGGATACCATGTAATTCTCGATTCTTTGAGCATTCCCCCGTGGATCCACAAAAAACCAAAAACCAAAACTTTTGTATTCTTCACTAAAACTTGGATTTTGAATTCGATTGCTGAATTAAAAATAAATATTGAATTAATATTGAATTTGGAATAAACCGAGACCTTGAATCAATGAATTCATCTGATCATGACCACTTGAATACCAATAAACCAAATCCTTCACCATAAACCCAAAAAGCAAGAAAATGCCTTGAAATCAAAAGAACATGATTTAAGATATGAATTGTATTGCTCAAACCCTGAATGGAAATGAACTGATCTATGACGATCCCCAAACCTGATCTGATAACCTTGCCTGACACCCAATTCAACCTTGCAACAACTTGGATTTAGGCAATAAGAAAAATGAAAGCAGAACCAACATTTTTTTTTTGAAAATTTTGAATAACGGTTAGTAGATGGATATACAAAATGAAAGTTATACACAGGTGAGACAAATTTGGGGTATGACACTCATTTATTCATTTAATATTAGTATTTATTTATTTAATTTGGAATAGTTAAGTAAATAAAACCAGTAAAATAAATAAAAGAATATGAGATTTTTTTTTATTAATCATAAGTATTATTATATAAACATTTTAAATTAATTATCAAAATTTAAATTAGCAAATTAAAAAAAAACAATTTAGCAAAAGGGGTGCTAAATAAAAGCAAGATTGTTAATGGTAAAACCTATAGATCAAAAGCCCATAAAAAACATTTAAAAAAAAACAAGTCATGAAGATAAAAACAGGGGGTGTGGAAAACCAAAGTCCAACAGACCCAACCCATATTCATTGGTCAAAGAGTCAACATAGTTGACTTTATCCCAGCCTTCAGATCTTAATACACGTGGGATCAAAGGCCATGAGCAATAAATGTATGGACCAAATGGTAGGGAGATCCATATAGGATCCTACATTCGACCATGGGTCAACGCCTGGACATATGGCCAAGAAGGCCAAGTGGCAGTAGTCTGCCCACACACACAACTCTCATGTAGTAAAAAGAGAGGGCTTCAATACATGTGATAGGGAGAGAGAAAGTTTCATTTGAAACCTTAACTCTCTCTCTCTCTCATCTGCAGAACTCGAAAAAAAGACCAGCCACTAAAACTGCTGGAGTAAACGGCGGTAGGCGGGTGCCTACAGTGGCACCACCCCTCTTCTCCAACCAATTCAACAAAAAAGCCCTCCTTACTAAAACAACCCTTCTGAGTTCAAATCTGAACTCAGAAGTTCCTAAATCACCCTTAAATGTTCAAATCAGAACCAAGCAAAATAAACCCTAACCTATTCTAAATTTTCTCCAAACCAAAAACTTTTAACGCGGAACCTCTCAAAAGAGAGATAAAAACCTTCAAGGTTCCAAACCCTAACCCTTTCTTTGTAAAAAACCGAAGGTACCATAAACATAGACTCATCTAAAGAAACCATCCCATACACAAAATCGAGCATAAAGAAATACAATTCAAGCAACAATCAAGTTATAAATCACAAGAATTAAGTACTACAAAAATCACATCCATCCAATTCACGTATATGCGAGGCAAACAATGCAACAAGATAACAAGCGCAAATGGAGTTAAAAAATAGCAAAAAGTCTATCGTCCAGACATTACCAGAGAGAAGAATCCTAAGGTAAGAAAAACTTCTCGCTTTTCTTATTCTACTTCTTCTACTTCTGTATTTTGTTGTTGCTCTTGTGAATTGTCCCTTAGGCAAGACTTTTAGGTTAGAGCCCCATTGCGAATGATTCCTTCAAGCATTGCTTGAGGTGAATTCAATTCTTTGTATCATGCACATTATTCATAATATTTGACATTAAATGTGTAGCTTATCAAGGCATCAATGACTCTTCGATGATGGTTTAATGATGTATTCGCTTTGTAGGGTGACAATGATCCATAAGTGAAGGTTAAACATTTGTATTCGCCTCATAGGGGACAAGGATCTTTCGGTGGAAGTCCAACATTTGTATTCGCCTCGTAGGGAGGCAAAGTTATCTTGATCATTAGGTTGCGATTATAACATTTACTTCTTAAAATGATAGAGTTTCTATTTGTTGTGTTGTGACCTAACTTTGCGTTCAAAACTCATTTTACGTTAAAATGACAAATTCTAGTATGACAATCCTCCGTCTTTGATCTCCAATGACGAAGGTGTATATATAAACACTCTAATGATCACATATTGATAACTATAAATGTGAGATTAAGATTTATAATAGAGTGTACCTAAATCTTAACCAACCTTTATACATTATAGTTCCATTATAGGATTAAATGAATATATAATCTTTCTCGTGAAACCTCTCTCTGATGACCAATGTTATAGGTTAAATGAATGTAAAATCTTCCTCGAGATACATCTCGAAGGACCAATGTTTGTGGATCCTTTTAGTACATCATCCAACATTATTATGTTGTTAATTGTTCATAATTTAAGTGTATGGCTAGAGTATGACTATCTCATGATTCAATTGTTCATAATTAAATGTATGGCTAGAGTATGACTATCTCATGATTCAAAAATTCTATATTTCTTTTTTAAAAACAACCTTCTTAAAAGATAAATATTAGAGGATTTGATTATTCTTGTACCTCTTTGACTATGAAAAATTATAATTATCCTTTCTTTCTTGGTTATATATGAAATAAAATAAATAATAGGAAGGGGTACACATTTTTATAACTCTGAATTTAATAATTTTGCATACCATTACCAATTACTAGCAATTGTAAAAGAAAAAAAAACAATTACTATCACATTTACATTTGATAATCAAAAAACAAAAGTAGTTCTTAATTCATAATCTCCAAAAGGTAACCAAAAGAAGTTAACTTAACGCTATCCGTTCCATTCCACGATCCAAGTAACTCCGCTGACTTACAATCTCCACCGTAGATAAACAACCATCCAACGACCCACATTTAAACAACAACACAAATTCTCAATCCGTGCCTTTCTTTTTCCACCAATCAACGCTTTCCCGTTCCCTCTCACATTTCAGTATATAAATATCTTCCCACCCATTTTCACTTACATCATCACTTTCTCTTCAATCTTCTGATTATCTCTCTTTCTCTCTCATCAACGGTTATTCTGTCTCCTCCAGTTTCAGCCATGTCGATCACCACAGCTCAAACCAAGCCCAAGAAAACCGCTGCAGCAAAGAAGCCACTCTCTCATCCCACTTTCGCTGAGGTAAAAATCCAAATCCGGTTCAGTTTTCAGTTAACTTGAATATCTGTTTTTTGATTTTGTTGTTTAATTGGTTTTTATTTCTTTTTGAAGATGATAACTGAAGCAATCACAAGCCTGAAAGAGAGAACCGGTTCAAGCCAATATGCTATAACAAAATTCATCGAAGAGAAACACAAGGACTTACCTCCGACTTACCGCAAGCTTGTTCTCCTCCATCTCAAGAAATCCGTCGCTTCGGCAAAGCTTGTCAAGGTGAAAGGCTCCTTCAAACTTGCTCCGGCGGGTGCAAAAACTGCTCCGGCCAAGACATCTGCTGCTACAAAAGCTCCTAAAGCTTCTGCCAAGCCAAGCGCAAAGGCTGTTACAAAGTCCAAGGCCAAAGCTACTGTGAAGCCGAAAGCCAAAGCTGCGGCTAAGCCGAAAGCTGTTGGGAAGCCGAAGGCGAAGAGTGTGAAGGCTACTCCAGTGAAGAAGGCTGTCGCGAAGAAGGTTGTGAAGAAGGCGAAGAGTGTTAAAAGTCCGGCGAAGAAGGTGAAAAGCGTTAAAACTCCGGTGAAGAAGGCTAAGAAGTGAGGGATTAGGGTTTGTTTGATTTGATTGGGTTATTTGGTAATGTGTGTAATGTTATGGTTTATTATTATTATTATTGTTTGTTTTTAGAGAGATTAGAGATGAAAATTAGTGTTAGGAGGTTGTTGCTGTAAATTGTTTAGTAGAAACACATCTTGTGTTCTTTGTACTCGACACCACCCCTAATGAATTGGGTTTTCTGTTTTCATCACATTGCAGCTATTATTTCATATATTTTAATCTCTTAATGTTTTTTATTTAATTAATGAGCGCATATTATAATGTAGTTCAGAATTTTCTTTCGTATATTTAAAATGTTCTATAATTTGAGATTGAAAGTCATTTTGGATGTTATGGTTATTGCTACGTGTAAAAGTCTCTTTCGTTATAAAGGAAGTAGTTATTTTTATTTAGTTTTTAATATTAAATAGAAATACTATTATTGAAGAAAATGATTTCGTTTAGCCAAAGGATGCTCTGGATGTGCATCCAGAAGTTTATAAAATAGGGATCTTGATTATAAATCGTTTTTATTGTTAATTGTTTTGGACTTCACACTTATTTAAAAAATAATTACGAACACTGTTGTATTTTGATTAGTTGTTTGAAAAAATAAATTTATATAATTGAAAGATGAGTATAATAATAAAAATAACATTTGTGATCTTTCGATTAATGATTGTTTTTAAAAAGATTTATGTATTGGTACCATTTTTTCCTCTAAAACCATTTATAAAAAACTGGATGAGGTATAAGATTAATAACCTATAATTTAAAATTTTGTGTTAAATTGTAAATGTCGTGTTTATCTGATTTGATATTTGTTGTATGTGCTGTTTGTTGTTAACATTGTTGTAACAAAAAGTTATTAATATATCAAAATCTAAGGTTACAAAAGGAGAAACTAAATAATGATGCTGAAGTTACTTTGACATTGAGACAATTTTTTTGATCGTATAAGGGTTGACGACATATACTAAATAATCTTAAGATTATTTTATTAGTCGTATTTATTTATGTTCTTATACGCTTGTTGTTTGGGAGGTCTTTTTTCTCTTTTCGTATCTCATCGTTGTGCCAAAATATGTCCCCTTTGTCTGAAGGCCAATATTTCTCCATTGTTAGCACTGCGAAGCCTTCGTTGTAGACATTGATAACATTAATGACCTTGTAAACATCGGATAGATGACGGTAAGCGTCCTGACGAGCATTTGCGCATGCTGCAATGATACGGGAGCAAGGTACACGGAAGACCTGATACTTACCACAGTCACACCAACATTTGTTTAGTTTGACAACATATGATAAATTTGGCCTCCCCTCATTGTAATCCATTGTTTCTTGTACACTAAAAGTTTGCTTATGACGGTCAAAGATTGTAACTGCATGTGTGCTAGCTTTGGTAGTTTCCTATTTCATCACTTTCATTATGCAATCACTTAATATTTGACCCGACATTAACACTGCACTATATCTTTCGTCTCTTGTTGAAAAAAGTGATGCCAACCTATAACAGGTTGATCTCACAAATGCAGTTATTGGAAGATTTCTAACTCCTTTGAAGACGCCGTTCATGGATTTCACAAGGTTTGCTATCATGTGGCCTCGACATCCACCGTCAAATGCCCTTGTCCACTTGTCCAATCGAATGTTTTCTAGCCACATTCCTGCATCTGCATTTGACAATCTAATTTCGTCACAAGAGTATTGAAATAATGGTTGAGTTAGAACATATCCTGCATTCATAACTTTTTTGCGAAGGTTCTTATTTTTGATTGTACGCATGAAGTTTTGTGCGATATGTCTAATGCCATAGACATGGGTAGAAGGAGGATTATGCCACTCGCTATCATGGTTATTATAAGTACTCTCAATAGCAGCATGTCTGTCTAAAATCAAATAAACATTGGCTTGTGGAGCCACATGTGTTCTGAGATTTCTAAGGAAGAAACTCTAACCAGCAGCGGTCTCACCTTCAACCAGAGCAAAGCAAATGGGAAAGACATTATTGTTGCCGTCTTATGCAACTATCATAAGCAAGGTGCCCTTGTAATTTTCGTATAACCACGTTCCATCAATTTGAATAATAGGTTTGCAGAATGCAAAACCTTTGATCCATGTTTGAAACGCCCAAAAGAGTCGGTGTAATATTGCATTTCCGTCAACAATAGTTCTGTCTGGCCTATATGCCAACACTGCATAATTGCAACAGTCCCCGGTGTGTTTGTCTTAAGTGCCACTAAAAGTCGTGATAATTCTTTGTATGAATCCTCCCAGTTGCTAAATACTTATTCAAGTGCCTTTGTCCTTGCAATCCACGCTTTCTTGTACGAGAGAGTATAATTATATCGTGTAACGATATGAGAGATTATTATACTCACCTTCACTGATGGGTCGTTGTTAACAAGCGCCAAAATGTCTTGGCATATCAATTCACCGCTTAATTTTCGGTGATCCTGTATAATATTTGTGGCAGTGCAACTATGAGGTGGCTCTATAGAAGCTATCTTCCAAGAATTACTTTTTTTCCTGTAAGACACAGCAAGCCAAAACTTGCAAAGTTCGTTATGACATACCTTTTCGAATCAATTCGATGTACGGTGAAATCAATAGAGTTATCCATGTGATATTTTTCAATAGCTCATACATATTCTTCCTTGGTACGATACTTGTCTCTCACTTTTAATTCACCCTCTAACCGCATATACAAGTTGTAAAAAATACATGAGGATATCTCATCGTCATGCAAGTCTAAGTCTATCATATGTTGAGGCGAACAATATATATGACTTAGAGGTAATGGCACTTGATGATCGTTATCTTCAATGGTGTTGTTCAATAGATGATCAACCAGTGTCTCGCTTCCTTCTTCTTCGTCACGAACGACGTCGACTTCCGCTTCGATTTCATCTGAGTCTTTCGCTTCAGTTTCATCTGAATTTGCACGTTCTGATTGATCGATGATCTGAGATTGTTGAGATGGAAGAGTTTGTTGGAGTAAAGTATACAACTCAATATAGTTGAAACCAGAATGTTCGTGACTAACGAACATATTTTCAATATCTTCATCATCTCTCACTTTAAGTGGATAAAAACTAACGTGGTTGATTTAAAAAAAATTGAGTTTTGATATATAATTTGTGATATAGGACCAAACCCTAATTTTGATTCTAATCTATCTTTAAAATTCAAGAAACTTGTATTTCTATTGATCGTAAATTGGACAACATCGGTATTTTGAAAACCAAACCTAGATACATCAGATACATATGTCTCTCCGTTATAGTGGGCGTTAATAATGTATCTCGATGCAGATGACGTTGTTACTATATTTTAGTATGAGAAATGGATTGATGCAGATGACAATGCAAGAGACATGTTAAATATGCATGGAACATTAAATGGACTCTACAACTCAATTGGAGATAAGATTCATTTTTCATACACTGTCGCTAGTCAAATTGGCGACAAGGTTAATTTTTCCTACATTGTCTCCAGTCAAATTGGCGACATGGTTCAATACAAAGTAGCTAGCATGCGCCTACACTGTCTCCATGTCATGCTCAGACTTCCATGCATGCATGCACCCTATATTTGCAGTCTATGTACAACCTATGCATGCCTAGAAGTCTCCATTTAAACTGGCGACTAAGTGTAGCATTCCTACATAGTCTCCAATTGAAATGGCGCTAGCTTACTGCATGGTATGATGAATTCCTACTATTCTTCCTCTATAAATTCATATCGAGTCGGTTCTAGTTTGACATCAGGAACCTTTGTTTGGCATCAGATATAATCGATTAGTTTTCATCAAATCTAATCAATTAGTTTTCATAAACAGAAACAATGTCTCTATTGAAATGCACAAAGGCACCGTTGCCAACGTTGAGAATTATGTAAGTGTTTAATTCATTATGTAGTTTATATTTTGGCATGTCTTCATATTTCTTCTCATTCGTAAGTGTTTATTTTTTTTGTAGGATGTCTCTAGGTTTCGTCCTTGTGTTTTTGAATATGTTGCCCCCGACGAATTAATTGTACCTTATATTGAGCTCGCCGATTTTGGACATGTAAGCAAAATTATGTCTTACTCGATTGATGCAAAGTTTATACTAGCTTTACATGGGAGATGGCGTCCCGAGACACACACACACTTTTTTTCCAACAGGTGAATGTACCGTGACGTTAGAGGATGTGTACATATTACTCAAGTTGTGTATTGATGGTAAGACATTCAATGGAAAAATAAACTTTAAAAATTCAATTTGCGAGGAACTTTTGGGTGCCGACTTGTTGGATCATAACCTAAGAGGCCAAGGTATCTTACTTTCTCGTCTCAAGACATATTACAATAGTTTAATATTAGATGAAAATTCCACCGAAGAAATGAAAATAATAAAAACTAGGTGTTATCTTATGCTTTTACTTGGTTCAACTTTATTTCTCAAAGGTACTGGTTCTACTATGCACGTTATGTATTTACCCTTATTAAAAAACCAAGATAAAACAAGAGAATATAGTTGGGGTTTCGCTTGTTTGTTTTATTTGTATAACTCTTTGTGTAAAAACGCAACAAAAAACACATACATTTTCTGGATGCGCCGGTTTGCTCCAAGCATGAGGTTGGTCTAGATTGCCATCCCTAGCGCCCATCAACCACAATAGCTTCTCATTCTCGTATGCACACAAGTAAGTTAATACTTCATATTAGTTAATTCACTTTACTGATTATTGTCTCTAACTAATTTATTTGAACTTTTTTTTGTTTAGATGGTAGTCTCATAATATAACTTACAATAGATGTCTTAGACATTGTGTCATTCAATACCGCAATCTCTTGGATCAACTTACACCTGGAGATGTAATGCCACTAAATGAATCAATTTATTTTTAATATCACCCATTTTATGATCTAATCTTTTTCTCTTCTACAATTCATTTGGCGTTCATATCTAAACATGGAACACCTACACGAAGTCAGAGAAAAAGATGCAGTCATTTAAACTGCATGCATGTCGATCATCAAATTCACCATTGTGGAGATGCACCACAGTGATCGTGTCAAACTACAGTTTGAAATGCATCAAAACATCTCTGATCCCCCGATTGACCTCAGTAAATGGTATCTATAAAAAAATTAGTAAACAATGGAACTATCCCGATTGGAAAGATTTTTCTAAATTTTAGTGTCATAAATGGAGGAACCGCCACGCCCATGTCTTACGTGACCCAGTGATGGCAACCCTGTCTATACCAACAAATACTTATATGACTTTGTACAGATCGGTTGCAACTGGGTTTGTCTCCGAAGAGAGGTATCTATACGACCCATGACAAAACCACCTACACACAAGAAGCTTTAATGTCTAACCCACCAGGAAATTATCAGACCTGTTACTCACAACCCCCTACCCAATAAAATTATCGACCTACAAACACAGAAACCCACAATCTGAACATGTCAAACACCCTAACCACAATACCAAAAGCGTTCCCTATACAATCTCCAACAAAATGACTATAATCAAGACACCCAAAATACATATGCTGCCAACACAACATTAAGATATAGCCAAAACGCCCAAACATCTTTCCATAGCCAAATCACTAAAATATCACACCAGAGCCGACACACACAAACATCACAACAACCTTATGCCTTTCAAACACCAATACCATTTCAACCTTTCACCAACAAATGCTTCACACCAATGTCCCCCTTCAATTATCCAGGACGAACACCAATGACCCCTTCATCACATCTCAACTACTCTGATATGGGTCACGAACTTAATTTCAACACACAAAACTTCTTAGAAATGCAAGAAACTCTTAGGGATTCTGCTGAGGATGTTTCCGAGACCTCAAATCCTCAAATACCTAGAGTGAATCAACAACGAGGGCAACGAGTAAGGGTGGCTAGGGGATGTGGAACCAGTGGCCGGTATGACCAACCCAGTCATCATCACTAATTTACGTAATATTATTTTTAATTAAGTATTAAAGTTAATTATTTATGTTAAATAATTTATGATTGCACCTTGTCTCCAAACGAATTGGCAACACCATTCAATTTTTAACACCCTGTCACCCATTGAATTGTCAACACCATATGGTGTCTCTAATCCAATTAGAGATACCTCTTAAGTCCAATGAGCAGTCGCCAAATGAGTTAGCACTAGCACTCAAACACGCACCCAAAGTGAGGGGGTTCTTTGGAAGATAAACCGAAAAGTGGGTTATTTTTGAATTTTTTTAATTAAAAATATGGAGTATTTGGATAAAAAATTCAATATAAATAGACATTATTCAAAACTTATTTGAAACAACTTTTCCTTCTTAAAATTAAATTTATTAGACAATTCATTTATTCAATTTATGTTGTAGTTAAACTTTGTTTAAATTTATTTATTTATTCAGGTTCGATCTCTCATTCGCAGCTTGAGTGGATAATTTCCAGCACTAGTTTTAGTAAAGGGGTTCTTTCTTTCAATTATTTAGGAATTCTAATTTTCAAAGGCCACCCCAAGTCTATCACTTGTCTCCAATTTCTGACAGAATCATTGCTAAACTTGCAGCTTGGAAGGGAGCTTTGCTTTTAATGGCAGAGACGTTGACCCTTTTTAAACCCTTTTATAAACATCGATATATTTAACTAAATCATCTCATTTAATTCAATTTTAGGTGGTTTTAAACCTCCTAAAATTTGGATAAAACTCAACAAAGATGATGCTTACAAAGAAGATCGAGAGTCTTTCAATTATGGTGGTCTTTTCCACAATTCTAAAGAAAGACGGGTCAAAGAATACTTTAGAAAGATTGGTGTCTGTAATATTCTACATGCTTAATTGTGGGACATGTATCTACATTTAAATATGATTTGGAAACGTGACTAACCGAACATTATATATAAAATCTATTAGTGTATTGAAAAATGCCTCTCATACACAGTATAATACTAAGAGTATATAGTAAACAAAGAATTGTATATGCTGTACCATCAAAATAAATAAATGCAAACTCAATTCTGGAACAAAAAGTTGCATTACACAATAAAAACAACCATTCAACACTCAGACAAAAGTCACAAAAACCGTATCATGATTCATGACAAACTAATCCTACTTCTACATCAACAAATATATGTAGTTTCAGGGAACAACAATATCACATTATCATACATACTAAATTAGTAACTATCGATTATATCAAACGACATGACTTAGAAAAACATATACACCGCGCGCAGATTAACACAAATCAGACAGGTCAAGTTCAAACGAAAAATAAATTAGCGTATTTTCCCGAGTCATTCATCATGATTGGACTGATATGTCTGCATTTGGATGCTGGATGATGTTTGGAGGAGCTGTTTTTGTTTCTGTATCCACTTTTGGTCTTTCTTTGGTTTTGTAAGTGCCATTGCTATGGCGTCGCGTGATTTGGTCCTTGGTTGTTTCAGTGAGAGCGTTAGTATTATAACCGCTCTTGATGTGGTGGCTACCAGTGCTGTGACGTGCTCGGCTACAAACTTCATGAGGCTGTGAGTTCACAGCATCACCAAAGGTTCTTCTACGATTCATATTCAGTTTCGGTGACTTCGGACGTGTTAGTGGCAGCTGACATCAAAGAAAACCAAATGAATAGTTTTTTCAATATAAGACTAAATAGAATGCTAACCGATTATCCACAATGCTACGCACCGATAAATTAAGGCACTTACCTTCTTGAGTTCGGTCTTGGGCGGAGGTGCCTCATAGTAGAAACTTGGTACCGGTTTTGCTCTAATTACCAAGTTCTTTCTCATCTGCTTGATTGCTGCTTCTTGCTCTTCCTATGAGCGTTATAAACAAGTTATTTAATCAATTTTATACGACGAAGCTAAAATGGACTAGTAAAAACCATAGGTTTTGGCATAGTAAGGGGTTAAAAGTTTTAAGAAGATCGCTATACCTTTTGTCTTGCCTCATACTGGCTTTTTTCTTCTAGAAGAGCTCGGTTTTTCTCCTCTAACTTGAGATAAAACTGAAATGATTAAATTAAAATCTGTTCAACATCTATTTAACACGCATTATAGTTTACTTAGTGACAGAAAATATGTACCTCTCTCCGTTTTTCTGCACGTTCTGAGCTTCGAAACGTAGGGGCTGAACCCTGAGTTACCTTTGATCTTGCAGTGCGCATTGACACAGCACTAATATTCGTGGTTAAAGAACAAATGATATAAAGTAACAATTGTATTATAACATATAGAAGAATCACTTTTACTATTGACATTTATCAAAGAAGGGTTATAAGTTTAAAAGCATCACTTTGGCCTTGGCGGAGATTCTTCTAGTTTACCTAAAATTTGATCTGTGTAGAATAAGCCATAAAAAGTTTCAAATTTAAAGGATACGAGGAAGCAACCGACCAATTGTCTTCATCATCGTAGTTCTTCTTATCACCATTTTGCAAGGGTTTAGCTGAAGTAAAAGGCGAGTTTTGCTGAAAATGGAAAAACTTTTGCATATCAGTAACTTCAATACTAGTAACAAACAAAACAAATACGTCCGCAAATTCTAGATCAACTGGCGCAAGCAATAAATACATAAACCAGTTACTAAAATATTAACAAATTAGCAACCCTTACAGACAAAACTCTTTTCTCAATTTGTTTGCAATTTCACGCATATAACCTATGCTCGATCATTCCATTCATTATGTATCTTTAGCTCGGTTCTTAGAGTATTTAACTTCAATTTCAAAAGATAACACAACACCAAGAACATCAATTACCTGTGAATTCTTTGACGAGTAAGGCGACGAGTGCATGTTGTTAGCATTTGGCGACAAGTTCAAACGAGTTACACCAGCTTCAGTAGTATCAACAACACGCGTGTAGGATCCATTCTTTTCAGTAACCGGATCCGATGCTTTTGTCAAGCTTAACTCTTTCCCGTCACCCGTTTTCTGCACCTCATGTTTCTCATTCTCCTCTATCGGCAAATCAGTATCACAGTTCGCTGCCTTGGCAGTCAAAATGTCCTTACTTTCGCGGCAATCCTCAACAAACAAATCGACTTCAGTACATTTCTTTACTTCACGATCCGCAATTTCGGAAGACTCGTGTCCATTATCATTAACACTTTCATTTGAAACTGTTGATACACCATTTAGCTTATTCTCCTCAACTTCCATTGCAGTAACTTCTCTCCCCATGACACTGTATAATATACAACTAATTCATCAGAAAACATTACATGTATAAAAACATTCTAATATAAACAAAAAAATTGGTAATTTCTAACAGATCCAGAACACCACCAGGTTCAATAAGCAAATAAAACTCATATAAACAGATTTCCACAATAGTTAATTAACTAATTAAATAACATGATTAATTGTGATTAAGGCAATTTAAATATTTAACAACCACACAGAAAAACATAAACCTTAAAAAGTTCAAATAATTCATGAACTAACTTTCAACATGTAGTTAACATAAAATAAACAAAAAACACAACCCTTTTAACACGAACATAACATAGTAAGAAATCAACAGAAAAATGGAAGAAAAACTCACCTGAAACAGATGAAGCTCGATCTCACACTTAGATCTCTGCTGTTGTTGTTGTTCTTGAGCTTCTTGTTACTATGTTGTGTTTTGTTTTGTTTGTGTGTTGTTGTAGGTGTGAGTGGGTGGGTGCCAAATAGAAACAAAGTCCAAAATTTATGTATCAGTGTCAACTATATTATTCTTTTGCTTTTTCTCTCTCTTATGTTTCTTCCTTGGTTTAATTTAAGGTTTATTTATAGATCTGTTTTCTGGTTTTTTCTAACTAACGACGGTGTTTTTTCACCCTAACTTTTTTTAATCAGGATTTCACGCCGTTACTGACGGTGGCAAATTCCGTCTGTACCGTAGAGTGACGTTAAAGACATGTGAAAATAACAGAAAATAGTTAAAAAATCTTTGTTAATTTGGTAACCACAGTAAAATTAATGTTAAAATAATGGAAAATGAGAGAGATAGGTATAAAGAGAAGAGACTTATGATAAGGATATTGGACAGATAAGGTGGGAGATTTGGTCTTATAGGCATATCTAAATATAGAAAACATTTACAATAATAAATTAATACGTGCAAAAGAATGTGTTGATGATTTCCTCTATTTTTTTTTATGTTAATATATGTTGATGCATTTTTCAAATTTTTTTATGTTCGAGTGAGAGATTTTGAGATCGAGTTTAATCGTATATGCAATATTATTAATTTTTTTTTTATCTCTGTAATTCTTCTTAATTAGATACAGGTATTGGATCGATTTGCAAAATCCACCGATTCAAACTAAATCAATTTTCAATTATTTGAATTCATTTATTTAAAGATATATTACGTTAAATCTGCGATAATGTATTAGAGGTGGATAAATTTAAACTGATCGATTGAAACCGTCCCATCTATTGTTTTTTGTGTGCAAATGGATCGGATTGGGTTGATTCGGTTGATTAACTTGGATATTATAGTATTGTCTCGGTCAGACTCAAATATTTATTTTGATTTGACGAAAACTGAAACGGATCAAATTTAGTTAATATATTTTATTCATTTTTATTATTATATGTCTAACTTACCGTAAAAATGAAATTTATAATATTGCAGAATATTATTATTTTTATAATTTAATGATAACATTGTGTACTCTAAAAAATACAAGAAATACAATATAAATTTTTGAATATTATTTAGTTTGCGGTTTAAAGTACGATGATAATCAAAATTAATGTCAAATAATATTGAAAATATTATTCCGTAATAATATTTTTTTTAATAATAAAAAATTGAGGAAAAAAGATAAAATCATAATTTACGTCAGATTTAAGTTTTTGGACTCGAAACCATAAACTGATAGTACCCATCCCTCCAATCTGTATAACTTTGATTCAAATATTAGATTTGAATATTTAACATATGCATCGATTATCTAATCTATTGATATAAAATTAGCGATATTTTTAATATAATTTCTTTTATATAATAACATATTATTTTTTGTTCAGTATTTTCACTCACGACGAATATTTTTATCAGTCTAATACTCGATCAATAGATTTATTTACTTTTATAATACTTGATACGTATATTTTTCACTCACAACTAATATTAAAAATTAGTCTTATTAATAATTAATTAAAAAATATAATATATAATTTTACTTTGTACAAAATGTAAAAACAAAATACTAGAATATAAGGAAGTGAGTTTTTATTTGGGTAATATAGTTGTTTTGTTTCTTGAAAGTAAAGCAATAATTTAGATAGTAGTACAATCATAATAATTAAAAGTCATAATCAGGGACAGGTTTAAGGAGCAATCTCTTACTCTGTCTATGATGCTAATTAATCAAGAGGATTAAGAAGGGGTAACAATATTCTAGCTGTTGAAAACGATCAAAGCAAATCAATTCTTTTTTCTTTCTCTCATTTGACCAAACATAATTAAAGGTTAAACATCTCATTAGTACTAATTGAGAAGGATATTCAACCAAGTTTACGCAATTCCATCAAACTCAATATTTGTCTTAAACAATATAATAATAGTGTAAAATCATGTGACAGAGTAAATGTAATATTTATGTCACTCACAAGGTTGATGCTTCATAAATATGTCTACTGTATTTTTATCATAATAATTTATAAAACAATACATTTTTTTCTATTACAAATATTTTACGTTTTCATAAAATATATATTAAAAATGGATGTTTAAGGAAAATTGTAGGTTAATATCCATTTCATGAATATATAGTTACCTTATTGACATAAAGTTCTGTATTTATGTATATGTCTGATAGGCCTCTCATTCTAATCACAAACCGCAAGCTTCATTCTAATGATAAAAGGTAACATCTTGAAAACAAACTCTTTAAATAATGTTAGGTGTATAATCAATTAATGAAAAATACATTTTCTGTTTGATTCGTAAATGATCAAAATTATTTCCCAGATTATAGTGAAATCAGATGCTAACTTATTACGATTTCATAGCTAAGTGTTGCTTTTTCAAAAATCTTGATTTTGATGTACTACTATATTTTTTTGTACCTTAGTTAACTTCATTATACTACTACTACCAAATCTAGAATGTTGTTAGGTATTTTTGCAGGTAAAATAAAGATAAATAAATAAATAAATGTTTTAATTATTCATTATTAATGTATGGGAAAATGATGTAATGATATTCATGCCATGAATATATGTGTCAATTATTGATTTTTTTATTTATAAAAATAACCTATTTTTAGAAAATGAAAGAGAAAATACGTCAAATCAAATGACGTCAGTACAAAAACTTGATTTCATACGCTATATTATATGACTTATATATATATGTACAAGGAGTCATATGAAATGGCGCCACTTCTTTGATTTATAATGCGTACGTCATTTCATATGGCGTATCCTCATTTTTTTAAATAAAGTTTTTAGGGTTTAGATTATGTGTGTATGCGTCATTTCAATTGGCTACTGCGTTATGTTTCTTCTTTAAATACTGCACCACCTTCTCTTGATTTCTCGCATTTTTCTCTTTCCATTTCTAATGACCTCCTTCCATTTTTCTGGCTTCCTCTTCTTCCTCCTCATATCTCTATTAGATTCTATATACCCACAAGAAAAATACCGATTTAATTTTCTCGGTAGTCAAACCTTTGATAAGATCTGCCTTTGGAATACACTGACGTTCGAACATCTTAACAAGAGCCTGAACCGCCGGTTAGATGGAGATATTCCAAAGAGTGAAAAGATCAGAAGAATTGAAAGGTTTGTTACCACGTTCAACCAAAATGGAGAAGTTCGTTTCTGGGAGAATATTACTAATGACCAAGATGTTCATATATTGATGTATAGTTCTCAGCAAATTGTCCTGATGGTTGTAATATCTTAGTTATGTTATTTAGTCGTTATATTTGTTTGTTTTATTGTTTAAGTGTTTAAATTATTGTTACTTGCTGTTTTTAAATTATTGTTATTGAATGTTATGATATTAATGAAATGAAAGTTGTTATTAATATAAAGAGACAAGGTTACATTTAAAATCATGACGTTGTGCTTGATCCAACATTGGGATATTTTGTACGATTGTGTCCGAACTGACGGCATGAACTACATAATTTTACCATTTTGTTTGCCGTATCCATCTTCGTTCGAATAAACGTGCTATTAGGTTGAACCTTTTTCTTTCTTCGCATAATTTCACTGTGTCAGACAATTTCTCTTTCATATACAGGCCAATAGCCCTATTTTGCTACTACCTGAAAGCTAGTACTGTAGACATTGCATAAACTAATGGCTTGGTAGACAACAAATAGTATGTTGGAAGGGTACTGGCGAGCCCTTAAACATGTTATTATGACATGGGAGCAAGACATACGAAAGGCTTGAAACTTTCCGCAGTCGCACCAACTTCTATCTAGTTTCACTCGGTAGGATCCCCTCGGTCTCCCTTCATTATGATTCATTGACTTAACAACACTGAATCGACCTTTACTATGGTTAAACACTGTGACCACATGTGTGTTAGCTTTGCCAGCTTCATCCTTAATGAATTTCACTGAACTATCACTGAACAACTGCTCAAATTGTAAGACATAACTTTATTTTGAACGTCTGATATCAAAAAGTGCCTCGAGCCTAAAATATGTTTCCCTTGCCAAAGCGGTTATCGGTAGGTTTCAAATGCCTTTGAATACATAGTTCATTGATTCCACGAGATTTGTTGTCATGTGGCCTTATCGTTGGCCATTGTTGTATGCCCTGATCCACTTCTCCAATTGAATATTGTTAATCCATCTTAATGCATATGCATTTATCAATATGATTTCTTCACGGTAGTGTCTGAAGGAAGTTTCTATTAATGCATACCCTACGTTCACAACCTTCTTCCGCAGCGTCTTGTCTTTGATCTCCCACATGAAATTTTGAGTGATGTGTCTAACGCAATATACATGCGTTGAAGGAGGATCCTACTAGCCTTTATCAAGATTCTTATATGCACTCTCGATTGATGGATGTCTGTTAAAAATCAAACATACGTTAGGTTGGGGAGACACGTGTAATCAGAGATTTTTTAGGAAAAAACTCCAATCCCCAACAATCTCCCCTTCAATGTACCAATTCAGCCAACCATACAGTCCTCACCTAACCCAACCACTGTGACC